CGAAAGAATCTATCACGGGCCTTCCAAGACTTCCACTGATGCTTCTTTGCGTCCTTGGTTTGGACTGTCAAGAAGTCTTTCCTCCATCGAGCTGCGTAGGTGTGTTTGGCCTGCTTGTACAAGGCGCTCCAGATCACCCTCTGACTTCCTCCAAGCTTGTGGCAACGCTGTTTTCTTCATCAACCGGCGAACTTTGCGCGAACTGACATGGCAACCTTTCCTGCCTTTCAACAGAAGCTTCCTCAGGCTCATACGATCCCAGAATCCCTGCATTTTTGGTGATGTGGATAATCACTTTGACCTCTTGAATTGCAGCCGGACTCAGATTGTAGGATTGTTTGGAGCCCCAAAGAACTTTTGCCATTTTTCGGCTCAAGATTCCATCCATGCGGTGAATAAAGGTAGAAGACAGTCGAGAAGCGATCTGAAGTTCCCAGTCCTTCTGCCTGTGGTACCCAATGAGGGTGCGATACCGATGAACGAGGATCAAACGAAGAAAACGTTGCAAATTGAAGTAAGAACAGCGCATGTGGCGGCAAACTGTAGTGGCGTTCGAAAGCAGACCAAGGAGTTCTGCGATTTCTTGAAGGGTTAGACGATGTTGCCGCAGAAAGGTCCTGAGCCGTTGGATGATATGATCTTGTTTTTCAGATGGGAGGCTCACCATAAGGGCACGAGAATCAATCAACAAGCCAAGGCAGTGTCGACGGTGGGAGAAAGTAGTGGTGAACTTTTCCCAAGACACGCAATCTTGAATCCCTTTTGAAGCATCTGGGAAGCCAAGGATCAAATAGAGAGCCAGAACACTGGAGGCTATTGTTTGTCTCAGTGTCTTGGCAACATCGACATAAAGACAATCAAAATTGGGTGGAATCCGAGATCCGTCCGGGTTGAAGACACCTTTGTTGATGGAATCGGCTTCCGCTGGGGTAAACTGTGCGATCTCATCAGGCGTTGGTTCAGGTGATGTCGATATCGCCGGAAGGTATCGTAGAACCCGAGAAATCGTAGAAACCTGTGACCAGAGGAAGTGTGCAAGAGCCATACGACTTAAGGCTATAATCTCGAAATTTGACGGGCAGGTATTGCCACCGAATGTCAGACCAGTGCAGAAGAACAGGAAACCGAAAATGGAAAACGTATGCATTCCAATTACATTTGGGTTCCATTTTCCGTGGCGAAAGGCTCCTGAGACGTCGTCGTCACCAAGGTAAAGTTCCTCGGATTTGTAGCTGATCCCAGCATTGTAGATGTATGCAAGGTGGTTCCGAAGCAATTTTGGAAATTCAACCTTATGCTCCGTATCTTTGGTCGTCATATCGTTGGTAGGGATAGACTCGAGCAAAGGACAAAAGGTGCCATCACAGATTTGACGATCGCTCTTTCCTGGGACAACCACAAGGCCTTGTGGGATCTGCTGTGTATCTGGTAGGAAAGGTGCGAACAGAGGGTTACCAACAAGGCTGTGGGATCGGGCGAAATCCTTCTGCACTGCATTCTATGTTTTTTCGACATTGGTATAAACCGAGTTGTGATTTCCATATTCAGCGAAGGATTGCCGATTCTTCTCGGACAACGTAGCGTTGACATAGTTCGGACAACCGTCAGCAAGCACGCGCCGTAAATTTGCAACAAGACCATCATCAACTGATGCCGCGCGTAGCTCTGGTTCCAAAGCGTTCCAATCCTGATGGGCCCCAGTATGTATGTTCCCAACATAGCGAACGGCGGTAGCTACATCCAAGTTGTAATGTAACAAAGAGGCGGTGAACATCCGGCTCCAACAGTGCATGAATTGGCCCATTGGTGTATCCGAAGGGAGAACGGAGCGAAGTGGCCGAAAGTCAACAAACTCGTGGCTCTTGAGTAACAGACGAAGAAGTAAGGCTCCGGAAAAAGCCTTGCCCAAGCGATCGCCGGTCGTTGTGTCCAAGTAGCCGCTCTTGTAGAGAAAAACAAAGGTATGGCAAAATGTACTTTCCGTCTTGAAGCATCGATTGTTACTATCCTTACCGTATGGTGACTCCACAGCAAGGGCAGTTCTACTTGGGAGATTCCGGAGAAAATGGGATTGTTCCAACCGAGTAAAGGTAGGTGTTCCCCTTGCGCCCTGTTCCAGAATGTGGCGGAATCGGTCAGCAACAAGCATGTCCGCAGGGTCGAGCTCGTCAAAAATTGTCCAAGTTGGGGGATAGTCCTGGAGAGCACACTCGTCCTGTGGATCAACGCAATGTGACGTAGGTGTGGGCCGAGACACATAGTAGTTGACCTGCCGGGTAAGAGTGCTTACTGATGCGGCCGCCACTTGGTGGGGCAACAACAATCAACCATGAGAGAGAAGGAAATTAACTAGGAGTAAGTGGAAAGCAAAATTGGGAGAAAGAAGAAAGTTGCTTAAGTAAAAAGAGAAAACTAACCGGTAAGTGGTTCCTGCCCAGGAGCCCTTTTGACGTTTGGAGTCGATTGGACCCAGGTCTTGAAGGACTCCTGTTCGCTAACAGGACAAGAGTGGAACACTCGTTTATGGAGATGGAGCAAAGTGCAACGAGTATTCGTGCACTGGAAGTTTCGGAAGAGGAAATTGACACAGGCAGTCTTCTCTACACCGTTTACTTTCCACTTTTGATCTGGCATTGGTGGTCGTCCGGTGGAAGTACAGATGAGCATACCCCTGGTGGTGCTTTCCTCGCTGCTAGGCTTTGGCTTCTTTGCAGGTGAAGCGGCTGTATCTTGTTTGGAGGATGGTGACTCGGAGGACCGTTTGCCAGAAGGAGAAGCGTCGGGGGCCGCGGTAGAAGAAATCAAGGCACTAAGGGCGGACGTCCTGGGATAGTTGGGGTGGCGACAATTGCGAAGGCCTTCGTCAATCTTGTCCAGCAGGAGCTGTGTCTGGGCTCTTGCGCCAGAGAATAGTTCCGCACGTTGAATGGTGCCAAGTGGTCGTGCTTCGGCATGGAGAGTGAAGTCTTTGTCCTCATAGGCAATGACCTGGAAAACGGTTTGGAGGTCATGGATGATGTGGACGGCGACACCCGTGAGGTCGATCACATGCTGCCACTGGACGGCATCAGGTCGGGACAAAGCAACCATAACCGTGTCAAACTGTTCCACCATGAAGGGTGTGTTGTTGGACATGAAGAAATTTTTGGTTGCGAAGGCAGCAAGTTGTGCTACATTGGAGATTGTGCTCTTGATGTCGGAAATGGAGGCGCAGCGGCCCTTGGAGTACAATTTTGTCTTCTTGGAGGCTCTCTTGGTTACATGCTCGCCCATGTCTTCTTGCATGCAGGCTTCTTCATCTTTGTTAATGTGCGAGGCCAAGTCCTTGTCGGTCCTGTCGGAAGGGAGGAACTGAAGGAGACTGAAGCAGGACAATGCATCGGATGGGTTCATTACTAAAGATCTGGTGGTAAAGCTGGCTCCTTGGATCGCCGCCATCCCCGCTGCCTGAATGCGATGGACATCCCAGTCGAAAAGAGCATGGTAAGCATTGCGGGTTGGTTGGAGCGCTTTAATGGATTGTTCAAAGGCTTTGTGTAAGAAACAAAGGGCAAGTTGGGGCTTGGCCTTCAAAATGGTCTTCCAGGCGGACGAACAATCAGCCAGTACATACTCAACACTCCCATCCGGGTGGGTGATGAAATGGCCAAAGAGTATTTGCCAGGACAGTAGTACTCGCTCTTGGGCTTAGGTTGCCACGTCGTTGGTGGCCGTGGTCTTTGATGCCAAAATTGCCTCCTTGATGATACTGGCGTGGTCGATTGGTTGGGCAGCCCTGGTAGGAATCCTTGGTTCGGCGGAAACATCGGTGTGGGCACGGGAGAGCGCATCGACCTTACTGTTGAAGCTTGTGATGCACTTGTAGAAGGACTCAGTACCCAGATGCTGTGGAGAGAGTATTCTCGGAGATTGCAGCTAGCTGCTAGTTGACAATAAACTGGTCCAGTGGGATAGAAGTCTTGCCAACAAGGGTCTTGTCAACAAAAAGGCTTCTTCCCATCGTATTCTTGAAGAGAAAGGAATGAACTTCGACCCATAGACGTTCGTGGGGCGAAAGGGCTAAAAGAACTTCTTCAGGGACGTCTTGGGTAAGGTCCAGAGCCGGTGGCATCTTGCTACCTGGGACAAGAGGGCAGAAAACCGAAACAGCACAGAAAGTTGGTGATTTGACTGTGAAGTCGATGTCTTCAGGTAAGTCTGCGTCGTTGGCGTTCTTGGCGTTGCTCGGGTGGTACTGGGTGTCCTTTAGTAGAGGGACGCAGCACAAGACGGCGCGGCCATTGTTACCCACCCCAATCACCTGTTTGGAGAGTTCGTCGGGGTCAATGGTCATGGGGATCGCTTGGGCAAGGCCGTCTCGAAGGGAAGCGAAGATGCCAGCCGACATGCCATTGTCAAGGATAACCTTTTTTGGGATGGTAACGACCGTGAGCTTTCCTTGAGGGTCAAAGAACATAAGACCAAGTGCCAAAGTGACAGCAGTGGCGCGATCAGACATGCTGGACGAGCCATGGAAAACGTTCTTCAAGAGGGCATCGGAGTCCGCATCGGTGGGAAGGGACTTGATGGAGGAGTATGAGGGAAATCGCATGGCGGGTGATGGTGTTGATCAAATGGTTGGAAAATCTGAGATCAGAAATTTTATGAGGAGAGGATGCGATTGGGAAAGGTATTGTAAGTGTGTGGATGTTGGTATGGAATGTACTACAGTGCAGGGAATTCCATAGAAATGGCGTGTCAGCAGGTGGAGAGGGAAGTGTGAATGGGAAATAAAAGGGAAGAAAAGTTTTTGATCTGGGAAGGAACAATTTTTGTTTTGGGCAGGAAACGCCCCTTGAAAGGCGCTCAGGGGGGGTATTGGGAAAGATAGAACTTTAAATATATAAAGACTAGAAGATGTAGAAACATATTCAGGCAAGGGATATCCATCTTGGAGAGGGAAAGATTGAGAGTCGCATGGGAGAAAATGGGCCGAGAATGAAGGAGACAGGAAAAGCACGGATCCGAAATCGACTTTAGAATAAGTATTAGAGCCGGACGGCTTTAGCGAGGAGAGCAAAAGCGGTTGTTTATAGCCGCATGTTGCGGCTAAAGGGGCAATATGTAGACTTCCACGGAGGATTGTCAGATAGCCTCAACGGAGGACCTACGGAGGATTTTGTAGCCTTGACGGAGGACCTCGACGGAGGATTTTTGTAGCCTCAACGGAGGACCTCGACGGAGGATTTGTTGTTAACCTCAATGGAGGACCTTGACGGAGGATTTGTTGTTAACCTCGACGGAGGACCTCGACAGAGGATTGTGTAACCTCGACAGAGGACCTCGACGGAGGATTTGGTAACCTCGACGGAGGACCTCGACGGAGGATTTTGGTAACCTCGACGGAGGACCTCGACGGAGGATTTTGTTAACCTCGACGGAGGACCTCGACAGAGGATTTTTGGTAACCTCGACGGAGGACCTCGACGGAGGATTTTGTTAACCTCAACAGAGGACCTTGACGGAGGATTTTTGTAACCTCAACAGAGGACCTCGATGAAGGATTTGGTGTTTTTTCCTTGACGGAGGAGTAAAACGTACGACATGTTGCACACGGAGAGTGGCTTGATGCCGACCTCAAGGAGGATTTATTGAATAACCTTGACAGAGGACCTTGACGGAGGATTTTTTGATAACCTTGATGGAGGACCTCAACGGAGAATTTTGAGAAAGGCAGTGGGATGCAGACAAAGGCAAAAAGCAAAAAAGCTGACGGTCTTGTCCGAGCAGCTAAGCTCCTTCTATCGTCTCCATCATCCCACAAGCTCCCATTGCGAACAATGTCTTCTCCAAATCTTCCGTCCTCTTCGACAATACTCGTCGCCCCGTCCGCCAACCGTGTACTTCACTGAAGCGGCGCGCCGCAATCGACATGACGGAAATTGAGACTAAGGAAGAGCTAGAAGCCCCACTTCACCATAAAAAACTTCGGTGGTCAAAATAAATGTGGATATGGTCGTGTCGGCAAAATACCAATGTCGTACGAGCTATAAGTGAAATGCTGTCAATGGCTACTGGAGAAAGGAGACAACACAAGTATTTTTGCCACTGTTTCATGATCCTCACATGGGACTTCATGTGCAGGGCCAACAACACAGTGACAATTCTTATTGACCAGATGCAATGGCATGGTGATCACTTGGAGATCGAATTAAGTCCACAAAAGGATACCAAGAAGGGAGAAAAGAAACGTCTTCCAAGACGTCTACATGCCAATCCGCAACAACCAGGAGCATGTCCAATAGTTGCCCTTGCACTTTACTTGGGTCTGATGGCCGGGCGTTTGGAGATGAATGGGCTGTTGTTTTCCAGGGAATTGCCAGCACAAACGTTTCATGGATGGGCTAAGCAAGATCCTCAGAGACCACGAGAATGAACTTTAGACCACGAGAATGAACTTTGGCAAATGGGATACGCAAGCTTCACAGATTACCTCTCATAGCATCAGAAAGGGAGCGACAAAGTGGCTGAGTGAACGGCCTGGGGGGATCACTCCCAATCTCAATATGTATTCAAGGAGGATGGTCTTTGGGTGGCGTCAAAGACGTCTATATGAAATACTACTACTAGGTAGAACAAAACTCACTTGGTGGTGGAATGAAACCCAGCCTTTTCTTGTATAGCAGCATACTGTATTAATAAATTCTATTCTACTTTTGATAAGTTATTAGTACTAGCTGTGGATGCAATTCTTTTTATACTATCTCTGCTTCAAATTGTATCAACGTGTCACACTGTTTGGAGGATCGCCCCCACCAAAACTCGTCTTTTGGTGTAGCTAGCTAATACCACAAGAACTATCAGAACATTTTTAGACCACCCGAGCACTGTCATTCCGCGGAATCTATACTAATGGTGAGCTTGCCGCAACAACAAGAAATCCTTGCGTGCATACGAATAAAGGATACACACGAAAATAAGTTTTTTAAGGCAGAGGTGCTGCCAACTACTACTAGCATGGAACGCGCAGGAAGTAGTAGAAGCTAGGAGAGATGAGAATCAGTATTGTACCTGTGGTGAAGAAGAAAAGCCAAAAGCATTCTCGATGCAGAAGAAGAAAGGAGAAGCACCCATGGAGGTGGACGATGAGCAGTGAGGCTTACATTGTAAATTTTGTTTAAAACTCAAATTGTTTCTACACCATATAAAACTATGTGATTTGGGTCTTGTTTTACACAATAAAAGTCAATTTGCTGTTTTGACGTGACGAACAGTGTGCGCATGTCATGCCCTTTTCAAAAAATCAATAAAAATGCATTTGAAATCGATTTGGGAACGGATTGACTAATATGACTTCAAATAGTTGGACTTTTTCTGAAGTTGCCAATTCAAGATTAGATGAGGAAATGCCAGAGGATAATCAAGAAAAGCCTCAGATAGGATGATCTATTCCTCTGGGTGGATACTCCATCACCAAAACCACGCTTTGAGCTATGTATCCGTCACTACATCATGCAAATAAACAGCAATTGCACCCTGCTTTGTCTTCATTCATATGACTGCTTACCAATATCACATATGAGTGGACTTTCCTATTTACATGCAGTAAGGTTCTATATTGAGTCAAAGCTTTATATAGCATGGCGACTAGTGCCTACAAATACAGGTAGTTTCACACTTAGGCAAATCTGCACATATATCTTTTGAAGGAGACAACCTTCCCCCTTTATAGGTGGACACAATAACCGGCAAAAGTGCGCTTTAAGGGAATCTGAGAAAAACTCAGATTTGTTCGTAAAAGGGTTAAGGGATTTTTCTAATACAATGAAAAATCAATGGTCATTCCAATTGGATTTGAAAAAATTTGACGTATAAAATCCGTTGAAAACAGACGTTGTACATCGATTCAAATACACAGAAAATACTCGAAATTTGTACATTTGGAATGGGCCTGAACGTTCCCTATAAGTACCAGGGAAATTCCCTAAAAGTAGTTCCCTAAAAATCCCCGGGAAGTTCCCTAAAAGTTCCCTTTTTTTGTTTTGGGGTGTCCGTCCAGACAAACGGGTCATGTTATAATGTTCGTCTTTTCCGCGCGGAAACACAAAATTTTGATGATCGGAGGATCTTGAAATACACGTTTTTGCCACACGGTCCTGATGTTTAGCCTGCGTTTTGGGTACAAGAGAAGTCCTATTATTTAAAGTCACCCGGATGGGCATCACGAAAGCTGAAGCAGCACTGGCCTCTGATTGGGAGAAGGAGAAGCAGTGGAAGGCTTTGGGAGCAATCCCATACATACACAAGGAGAACAATTTGTCTTTCTAAGGTTCTGTGGGTATGGGACAAGAAAGCTTTGGTAGCGGCAAAGAGAAGGCACAAGCAAATGGGAAGGAACAATCAGAATTTTTTATGACGATGCATGGATGGGCTAAGCAAGATCCTCAGAGACCACGAGAATGAACTTTAGACCACGAGAATGAACTTTGGCAAATGGGATACGCAAGCTTCACAGATTACCTCTCATAGCATCAGAAAGGGAGCGACAAAGTGGCTGAGTGAACGGCCTGGGGGGATCACTCCCAATCTCAATATGTATTCAAGGAGGATGGTCTTTGGGTGGCGTCAAAGACGTCTATATGAAATACTACTACTAGGTAGAACAAAACTCACTTGGTGGTGGAATGAAACCCAGCCTTTTCTTGTATAGCAGCATACTGTATTAATAAATTCTATTCTACTTTTGATAAGTTATTAGTACTAGCTGTGGATGCAATTCTTTTTATACTATCTCTGCTTCAAATTGTATCAACGTGTCACACTGTTTGGAGGATCGCCCCCACCAAAACTCGTCTTTTGGTGTAGCTAGCTAATACCACAAGAACTATCAGAACATTTTTAGACCACCCGAGCACTGTCATTCCGCGGAATCTATACTAATGGTGAGCTTGCCGCAACAACAAGAAATCCTTGCGTGCATACGAATAAAGGATACACACGAAAATAAGTTTTTTAAGGCAGAGGTGCTGCCAACTACTACTAGCATGGAACGCGCAGGAAGTAGTAGAAGCTAGGAGAGATGAGAATCAGTATTGTACCTGTGGTGAAGAAGAAAAGCCAAAAGCATTCTCGATGCAGAAGAAGAAAGGAGAAGCACCCATGGAGGTGGACGATGAGCAGTGAGGCTTACATTGTAAATTTTGTTTAAAACTCAAATTGTTTCTACACCATATAAAACTATGTGATTTGGGTCTTGTTTTACACAATAAAAGTCAATTTGCTGTTTTGACGTGACGAACAGTGTGCGCATGTCATGCCCTTTTCAAAAAATCAATAAAAATGCATTTGAAATCGATTTGGGAACGGATTGACTAATATGACTTCAAATAGTTGGACTTTTTCTGAAGTTGCCAATTCAAGATTAGATGAGGAAATGCCAGAGGATAATCAAGAAAAGCCTCAGATAGGATGATCTATTCCTCTGGGTGGATACTCCATCACCAAAACCACGCTTTGAGCTATGTATCCGTCACTACATCATGCAAATAAACAGCAATTGCACCCTGCTTTGTCTTCATTCATATGACTGCTTACCAATATCACATATGAGTGGACTTTCCTATTTACATGCAGTAAGGTTCTATATTGAGTCAAAGCTTTATATAGCATGGCGACTAGTGCCTACAAATACAGGTAGTTTCACACTTAGGCAAATCTGCACATATATCTTTTGAAGGAGACAACCTTCCCCCTTTATAGGTGGACACAATAACCGGCAAAAGTGCGCTTTAAGGGAATCTGAGAAAAACTCAGATTTGTTCGTAAAAGGGTTAAGGGATTTTTCTAATACAATGAAAAATCAATGGTCATTCCAATTGGATTTGAAAAAATTTGACGTATAAAATCCGTTGAAAACAGACGTTGTACATCGATTCAAATACACAGAAAATACTCGAAATTTGTACATTTGGAATGGGCCTGAACGTTCCCTATAAGTACCAGGGAAATTCCCTAAAAGTAGTTCCCTAAAAATCCCCGGGAAGTTCCCTAAAAGTTCCCTTTTTTTGTTTTGGGGTGTCCGTCCAGACAAACGGGTCATGTTATAATGTTCGTCTTTTCCGCGCGGAAACACAAAATTTTGATGATCGGAGGATCTTGAAATACACGTTTTTGCCACACGGTCCTGATGTTTAGCCTGCGTTTTGGGTACAAGAGAAGTCCTATTATTTAAAGTCACCCGGATGGGCATCACGAAAGCTGAAGCAGCACTGGCCTCTGATTGGGAGAAGGAGAAGCAGTGGAAGGCTTTGGGAGCAATCCCATACATACACAAGGAGAACAATTTGTCTTTCTAAGGTTCTGTGGGTATGGGACAAGAAAGCTTTGGTAGCGGCAAAGAGAAGGCACAAGCAAATGGGAAGGAACAATCAGAATTTTTTATGACGATGGCATCCTTTTTGCTCGAAAGGGAAGATAACATCAAAACATAGCACTAGGAGCAACAGCACAGTAATGCTGTAAATGAAACGATTTATACTTTTTGCATGTGTTGTATTCAAATGTCTTCTGGCTTGAATAGGGCAAGACGTATACGTTTTGAATGTTCGATGGTGATTTCGTTTAGTTGTGTGTGTGCAGCAGGAAAAGTGGGTTGTATTTTGAAGACATGGTTTAGTGGGGAGAAAAATGTGGGGAGTGGAATTTTTGCCGTTGCATACAAAATTAGCCGTTAACCACTTGTTTTCGGCCAGTATTTTCCAGACAAACTCTCAGATTGCCGATCGCAAATTAGAATCCGAGGTTTTCTCAGATTCTATTGCAAAAAAAAGAGAATCCGAGAAAAACTCGGATTTGTTCGTAAAAGGGTTAAGTGAGTGCGGCGGAAACATTTCTACCAGTTAGGGTTATTCAATGCAATTTGGTCAACAATTTGGCCAGATCACTCCAGATCATGCTTTGGGGCAACAAACTTACATGTGATTCAAACTTCCCATTTGCTTAGGTACCTTGATCTAGACAGGCCGAATCTATTGATAGGTCCAGTAATCCTTTGTCCAATAGAGGCAGTAAAAGGGACTGGCAGGTTGTTGTTTGGGTTTCTGTCTACATGGTGCCAGGAGGACCCGCCAAAATGGAGCAAACTCATAATTTACCAAACCAACTCATCATATTGGTCAAATTTTATATGCCAATGGTCGAATTCTTCTTCTGCTAACAACGCACTTGCTCAAAATATATGCAGAGAAGAGATTGGTGTATTGTCTTTTTATTTTGTGGCTTTCTGGGTCCACCAAGGCCAGTTTCCCAAGAGCAACAGATTCTGATGATAGGGCTTGAGTTTGAATTTGGCACCGGATAACGCCGCTAGGCACCACCTTCCTGCATCTAGGGACGTCTTCACATACAAAGTTGATGATGCATGTGCACCCTAGTTGGTGTCTATGAACTTCTTACCGACAAAGTCATCATTAGACCAACACACAGTTTTTGTTACCATCGTCATCAGTAGAAATTTTTTGTTGTGCCTCATTTATTGTTGTTTGGCTTCCATATTACCAGTTGGTGCAATGGGAACAGTTGGGTGTTGCGCCAGTCCATTGTTGCGCAAAATGTAGTTGATTTTCATGTTTGTGTTGTTTCTCTTTTTATTTTGGCTGTGTTGATTGAGATTCGGGATCTGGAGTAGAATCCTGCCGTGTCCCACAAAAGGCTGAGGACTAAAAAGTGCCTTGTTCAAGCCACGGCCTTCTTACACAACCAAACTGAAGCGACAACTTAGATCTCAACTATCCAATTTAACCTAGACAACGCTGATCTTGGGATTTGAGCTTCTGATGGACCAATTTTTGACTTTGCAAAAGGGACATCGTCATATCAAACAAATCAAACTCGAGCATCAAGGGGCCTCTTGTTGGCACTCCTTGCAAATGAGACAATGTGGTTGGTTTCATAGTTCACTATGGATATTTTTCTGTATCTAGAGCTCTTACTGGGAAATGAAACCCTACCGCTCCTCCCCTTTATGCAGCAGAATGGAAATGTGTGGCGTTTGGGACAATTTGCATACGACACAAACGGTCGATATTTTGTGTGGTTGATGCAGATTCAAGCACAGGCACACTTCCCCAGCTCATCATGAATAAGTAGTCTCCCAAGATAGTGGGCTGGAAGGATGGTATCATCTGGGACTACTGCCGATTGCTCCTGCTTTTAGACAATCCGATTTTAATAGTGCTCGGCCAGATGTTGCTTCATCTCCAAGAGGTTTGAAGCACCTTTGCCATATAATGTACCGGGACAACGAATAGGGATATCATTTTAGTAGAAATATTCAATATCCAGGAGGGGTTTGGCCATGAGTCCGAGTCTAGCAGTCCATGGAACCGAGGGTTGGAGACAGCAGACGCTTCATATTAAATCGGTCATCTTCAGCCATTTGATCATTGTATGTGGGGCCAACAGCCAGTCTATCTACTGCATCAGTATCTATTGCAACCCTAAAGCACTATTGCATTTTCTACCAAGGGTATAGTCTACATCTATGGTCATAATGTGTACTGGCTTGCAGGCTTTCAAGTCTATCAACATCTATACTAATTAGTCAATTCTGGAGAAAATGGGTACCTCATAGCCCTTTCATAGCTCCTCCAAATCTGGAATGCCAAATGATTGCCCATTGTATTCAAGAATCAAGACAGATCTTTGTTTAATGTCCCCATCACACAAATCATCAATCCAGTTCATGAATTATGTACCAGTAAAATTTCAATGCATCCAACACCCTGTAGTGGATTCACAATTGTTATGAATAAAGTACTGGAAAAGGTTTCTCAACAATGTTGTAGTGGTTGAGCTGAAAGCTCAACAATTTCATTTGATAACCTGGAAAAGCGAGTGGTTCTCAGCTTATAGGCAATATAGAAGGGTTTTTGAAGCTCTCACAAATTCATTGTTGCCTCATTCTGGCCGTCGAATGCTGGCTTGAATTGTTGCTTTGAAGTTTGGCAGCAAGTTTTGGGTTTGCATGGGCATTTTGGAAATTTCTTGTGCATCCAATCTTCACACAACCACTCCATTTGGGCGACTTGTTTGGTTCCCTCTTTGGTTGTATTGGTGCAAATTTGGAGCTTGCAGAGGTCGTTGTTGCCAACCAATGGTCATCGCTCCGATGTGCAGGATTTTTGGCAAGGCATGGAATTTTGGCCATTTTGGTCCAAAAGAAAATGTCACAGCTTCGGCCAAAGTCATCATGATTGCCAACAATATTCTAGGACAACCTAGCCGATAACTAAGAGAATATATTTTTAAAGCTGCGTTGGTTAATTCTTTTTTTATCATAGTCATCTGATCACTTGAAGTTGCATTTGGGGGGGGGGGGGGTCCCATATGGGGATATCTGGCCGTGCAGATACATGTACTTGTTGAGTGGACGATTTCAAAATACTGGATGTGGTTCCAATGGAAGAAATGCTGGACAAAATAGATTGCAGCAAGGCCAAGGTAATGGTCAATACAATGGAAATAAGAGTGGCAATTGTAGCCAAAAAGAGAAGAAGTTTCATCCTCTGACTAGAGGAAACATTAACAAATTTAGCTTTGATGAAGTAAAGAAGACATTGGTGATCGAAATGTCAGCGATGAAGATGGATCATATTGATGACATGATCTAGAGTGTACGAAACTTGAGTCTGTTTGATTTTGAAAGTGTGAAACCGACATTGGTATTGGTAACTGATGAGAACGATGCTGATAAGGAGATAAAGAATGAAGAAAGAAGAACTAATTATTTGGCTGATCGAAAGGATTGGAAGGCCAGGAAGAATGTGTTTGATAACAATAAACGCAATGTCTATGGAATGATTATGAAGATGTGCACCGATCCCATGGTGGACAAGCTTGAGAGAGAAGCTGACTTTGAAAACAAACTATTCAATGATCCTGTGGAGTTATTGATGCGGATCAAGAAATTTATGACGACTACTGTTGATACAGAATGGGAATATTTTGGTCTGTGGAAGACCATGAGCAATCTGATTGCGAGTTTTTGAAAAATTGCAAGCTTTGCTTGGTGATGATTTTTTGGACAAATTTACTGAGAAGAGTCAGGAATATGATTTATTGGGAAGCGATGCTGAACGATTGCAACATACCGGTAAGAAGGAATCATGGGAAAGATTCATGGCCAACGGGTTTCTGTATAATTCCGATAGAGCCAAGTATCAATCAAGAATCGATGGAATGATGGCGCAGTACACGTTGAAGCATCTGGATTTCAAACAACGTTGTACATTTCCAACTACTTTGGAAAATGCTGCTGATGTTTTGAATCAACACAGGCTCGATAATAGGAAGAAGAATTCGAATGGAGGAAATTCGAATAGACAAGGCAAACAAAACAAATCAAACAACAATAAAAATGACAGAGCTCAGTTTTCGCAACAACAAACTCGAGCGTGTTTTGTATGCGGATTAAAAAATCATGTCGCACCTCAATGTGCGGACAAATTGAAGCCGCGGGAAAAGTGGAAAAACCCGGAAAAATATAGGGATTATTCGGACAAGAATGGTCGTGGTAATCGTCAAAATATGCAACATGATGAAAATGCAACACGTGATGATAATGAATCAGGAGATTCAAATACTCAATGGAACTATGGACGTTCCAACAATGGATCCCGTGGAGGACAATTTATTCAACAAGGACATACTGACAATCATCCAAGACAACAAGGGATGATGTTGTTTCAACACAACAATACTGGTATCCACTTGGATAGTGGATCTACTTTTCATTTGCGAACCAAGGAAGGTATTCTAAAAGATTTTCACAAATGGACGGATGGAAGAGGATTTATATTTGATGAAGTTCCTGCTGACATGGAACTAGATGAAATTCACATAGGACCTAACAATTTAAATGATGATATGGAAGGGTACTGTGCTCTACAGAGTGTGGAGAAGAACAAAGAGGGTTTCACAAACAAACAAGTGAAACAAGCAAATATTGCACAAAGTGGCTATCATATGATGGGAGCACCTGGTGCAGAACTATTCAAGTTGGCGATTTGGGGAAATTTTTTCAAAAATTGTCCAATTACGGAGGAAGATGTTAATATCTCTGAAAAGATATATGGACCGAGCGTTTCAACAATTAAGGGCAAACAAAAGCGACCAACACCGAAGGCGGTGGTTGATGATTGGATCGAAATGCCCAAGGAACTCCTGAAACACAATTCGAACCTGGATTTATGTATCAACATTATGTTTATCAACAATGTCGCGTTTTTTGTCAGTATTGACAAAGCGATCAAATTCCGATTCAGTACTGAACTGAAAGATCGGACAAAGGATGCTATTTACAAGTCGATTGACGAGATTTTACGCATTTATAATCATGCGGAATTTTGAATCAAAACTATTTATTGCGACAACGGATTCAAACCGGTATTTGATGATGTGAAAGATAATTTGGATGTGACCATGAATTATGCCGCGCCGGGCGAACACGAACCAACTATTGAGCACAGCAATCAAACATTGAAAGGATTATTCCGAGCATACTATCATCAAATGGTGTTCAAGGCGATTCCTAAGGTTTTGACTATTGCTTTACTCAAGGTTGTGACAAAGGTTATTTTAACTTTTATCCTGCAAAGGAGGGAATTTCAAAATATTACAGTCCACATATGATTGTGAGACAAAAACCGGTGGATTTTTCAAAAGAATGTGTTGCTGAAATTGGATCCTTTGTACAAGGATATGGTCACACGACCAACAACAGTCAACAATCAAGAATGATTGATGGTATTTATCTTGGGGTGAATGGCAGCATACAAGCCGGACATACGAGACCCTATGTAACGGTACTTCTGATCACCAAACTCCTGAAACACAATTCATACCTGAATTTGTGCATTGACATTATGTTTATCAACAATGTCGCGTTTTTTGTCAGTATTGACAAAGCGATCAAATTCCAATTCTGTACTGAACTGAACTGAACTGAAAGATTGGACAAAAGATGCTATCTACAAGTCAATTGACAAAATTTTACGCATTTATAATCATGCGGAATTTTGAATCAAAACTATTTATTGCGACAACGAATTCAAACCGGTATTTGATGACGTGAAAGATAACATGGATGTGACCATGAATTATGCCGCGCCAGGCGAACACGAACCAACTATTGAGCACAGCAATCAAACATTGAAAGGATTATTCCGAGCATACTATCATCAAATGGTGTTCAAGGCGATTCCTAAGGTTTTGACTATTGCTTTACTCAAGGTTGTGACAAAGGTTATTTTAACTTTTATCCTGCAAAGGAGGGAATTTCAAAATATTACAGTCCACATATGATTGTGAGACAAAAACCGGTGGATTTTTCAAAAGAATGTGTTGCTGAAATTGGATCCTTTGTACAAGGATATGGTCACACGACCAACAACAGTCAACAATCAAGAATGATTGATGGTATTTATCTTGGGGTGAATGGCAGCATACAAGCCGGACATACGAGACCCTATGTAACGGTACTTCTGATCACCAAACAAGTGATCAAAATTGTGGAACAAATGGCACACGACAAGGGCGTTTGTGATTTGCATACTTATCATTGGAAGGTGATTTGCTCGCAGGAGTGGACCCAGATGAACTATGGGATGATACATCTATTCCACGCAAAAATGAATACAAACAAAGCGATGAGAATCTTTGTAATGAAAAGATTGATCAAGATGAAATTGATGCTTTACCTGAAGAAGCGGAAGAATTTATTGAAAACTATGATGATGAGCACACCAAAAATGTCAAAGAACAGACAGAAGACAGGAGTGTTGCAAGTATTTATGAATGATTGAGATGGAGAATTGATGATGAAAATTCCGATCAAGATCCCAATCCAAATGACAAATATCAGAATGATGAGAATTTAAATGAAAAGATTCAAGAAATTGAAGAAGACATTCAAAAGGACAAAGAAGATGTCGAATCACTTAACGATGAAGAACAAATCGAGGAAACACGCGAAACAAATGATTGAGATGGAGAATTGATGATGAAAATTCCGATCAAGACCCCAATCCAAATGACAAATATCAGAATGATGAGGATTTAGATGAAAAGATTCAAGAAACTGAAGCAGACATTCAAAAGGACAAAGAAGATATCAAATCACTTAACGATGAAGAACAAGTCAAAGAAAAACGCAAAACATATGAGGAAAATGACGATTTAATTGATCGAATTCAAGATGAAATCAAAGAATGTGAAAATCAAGTCAATGATGTTCACAAATTTGTAGCAAATTTCGATGTAATGAAAATTATGAATCTGACGATAATTCGGACAAATCAAGTAACTATGATAATTGTGAAAATGATGAAGTGAATAAACAGGACATATTCAGTCCAAGGAAAACCAGGAGTGGTAAATCTTATGTTCAAGATGGAATAAAAATGAGACCAACC